CCCTGGTGTCACTGTCAGAAAGCTGACTAGATTAGTGAATATTTCTATCGGTACGCCAAATCCGCGACCCCGACTACTTCGCGTGGTCCCTTCTACCCCGGAGAAACGCAAATCAGTACTGCGGTTTACATTCAAACTTAAGGGTACTGGTGTCAGCGTTCAGCCGGACATTCCACTGGCAGATAGATTGAAGTTGAAGAAGGCTATCAAAGACCTCAAAGCTAGACGGTCGGCTGGTGAGCAAAGCCTCCGTCTGGTGGGTTTTCAGGTTGTCAGCCGGAAGTTAGTTTCCGTCCTATCAGAATCCATCCTGATGGCGCACGACCTAGGGATGGTCGTCCCGACTTCCTTGAGGTAGTACTTAACAACGTACGTAGCCTAAGGAACAAGGTACACGAGTTGGGTCTACTTGCAGACAAATCTCGTTCCGACATTCTTGCTTTCACTGAAACGTGGTTGTCTCCGGATATCACGGACGGTGAGGTATGTTTACCTGGCTACGCGCTGCTTAAAACTGATCGCTCCGTTGGTCGCCAAGGCGGAGGCGTTGTATTGTATGTGAACTGTAAGTTAGAGATGCTGAGGACCTGTACGTTCCAGTCGTCGGATCAGACTGTTTAAGCCCTATCGTCTGTTTTATGCACTTCATCTGTCCAGTTTACAGTTGCAGTGATATACAGGAGTCCTAGAAGTGCTTCCAAGTGGCTACTTGACTTAATTCGCACTGTCCGCGAATAAGTGTTTAGTTCTAGGGGATTTCAACCTCCCGGAAGTCTGAAATAAATGAGAATATGCGTAGCTCGGGGTGTGGATGCGGATTTTGGGATTTTCGGAGAACCGCCCAAAATCCGCTCCCGAAAGTCTGTTGGGCCTATCTTTCTTGCAATTCGGCGTTAAGAACATTCGGTGCGGACTTCCTTGAGCTGATTCTCCAAGTGCCTTTGCACCAGTTCGTGGACTTCCCCACAACCATAGACCATCTACTTTAGAACTGGTTTTCGCTGTCCCTCGACTTCGTGACTGACGTTTCATACGATGCACCTCTATGGTCCAGCGATCACGCACGCATAACCTTTCGGTGTGCTCTTTCAAGACACCAACAGGCCGCAGTTGATTTACTTCCAAATATTTGACGGGCGGACTTTAGTGCAATGCGAGCTAAGGCTTCAGTTCTGAACTGTGGGATCTCGATGGCTGACTCTGTCCAGTTAGCCTGAGTTTCCACTTCCTATATTCCACCCATGAGGAAAAGAGGGTTAAGGGCACAGCCTCCATGGATATATACCGCAGGCAAGTACCTACTCACGAAACGGTCTAGATGTTGGCGAACCTACCAAGCAGCTCCATCAGCCAGTACCTTTGATAGTTATCGAGAGATTAGAAATAAATGTAAGCAACATCTCAGGACTGTTCGTCCCCAGTACGAGCAGGGTTTAGCGGACTCGGCCGCAGCTAATCCCAAGAAGTTTTTTGCTTATGATAAAAGACGCAGCGGGATAAAACTGTCTATACCAGCGTTATTGCGAGCAGACGGGACCTGTGTGCAAACTGATTATGATAAGACTTGTATACTTAGTGATCGGTATACTGGGTTTTTCGCTCGGGAGACCTCTTTACCACAGGTTGAATTGGTTTCAAGAGTTCCAGAGGATTCTTGCTTAGCTGAGTTTAACATAACGGAGACTCAGATATACGAGCTACTGCAAGACATTAATCCCTCTGAAGCTTCCGGTCCTGATTAAATTCATTCGAAGCTGTTGCATGTATTGGCCACTAAACTGAGTAGTCTTCACATGCGTGTCATCAGCATCTGTTGACAGCTGCATCCTACCTTCGAAATGAAAGGAGGCAATCATCTGTCCGACTTTTAGGAGCGATGACAGTGCTCTGCCCGCGAAATACCGGCCTGTCAGTTTGACAAGTGTAATAGTCAAGCTGTTTGAAAAGCTGTTAAGGGATTCAAAGGAGAACCACCTGAAAAGATTCAACCTTCTCAGATTTGCGCAACCTAAATTCCGCAAGGGATTTTCATGTCAGACTAGTCTACTTGTAGCTCGTGAAGGCTGGGCCAAAGCGGTAGAGAGTAGCCACGTTGTAGACGTGCTATTCGTCATCATCTCATCTTCGACACTCACTAAAGTTGAGATCTTACGGTATATCTGGTCGCGCTCTTCAATGTGTGTCTGCCTTCCTTGAGGGGAGGAAACAGTGCTTACGGGTGGGGCGTAGCCTTTCGCTCAGGCAAGCTGTCCTTAGTGGCGTCTCACGACTCGGTATTTGGGCCATTGTTGTTCGCGATCTATGTAAATGACTTGCCGGGAGAGCTAAGGGTGTCATCACTAATGTTTGCTGACGACCTTAAGCTCTGGTATATTGTGGATATCCCTGGGGACCTGAGGCAATTCAGCGGGCCTTGGATATACTCTGGAGATGGTCTACCTGATGGTTGATGCCCATAAATAGGACCAAGTGCTCTGTTCTCCGAATCGGAGCTGCTAATCCTCCCACCCGATATGCCGTCGGCGGTGGTGAACTCCCTGTTGTCACTCAGCAACTTGATTTAGGGGTCAGACTCACCAGCACTTTATTCTGGCGACAATTGGAAGTAGGCTGCTTGTCGGGGGTTTCGTATGATATGGTTTGTCTGCCGCTCTTTTGGAATCCTAACGGCCAAGTTGTTTGTGAAGCTATTCTCTGCATTCGTCCGACCCCACCTGGAATATTGTATCCAGGCTTATCCACCATGTCTTAACCGAGACAAAATGGACTTGGAGAGGGTGTTGCGAGTGAGCACTCGGTTAGTGCAGGGTCTACGGGGACAGACGTATCCCGAACGCTTGCTCAGTTTGGGCATGTACTCAATGCACTACCGAAGGATAAGAGGGGACCTGATTCTGACTTATCGTATTATGACGGGTAAGATCGGCCCGGACTTGTCAGGGCTATTTAGTCCCGCTACGTTACCTAATCTCCGCGGTCACCCACTGAAAACGCATAAACCGCGGTCTGATAGGATTGGGACGGAAATTCGTCTGTCGCGCCGAGTTATAGATCGCTGGAATTCGTTTCCAGATCACGTGGTTAGGGAACCTACGGTTCAGGGTTTTGCGCGCCAGCTTGATGTTCTTGAGTGGCAAAACCAAAACCTTTCCTTTTTCTTAAGTGACATCTTCACTTTTCAGTGCTTTTTTAATGACTCAAATATCTTGGTATTCCACTTGCTTAGCTCTTTCCACTTCTTCTTTTTGCCTTCTGTTCCCTTTTTTCTTTCTTACTTCACGTAACGGGCCCAGCAGGGACTGCTAGGGCAGGGTACGTGGGCATTAACTGGTTGGGCAGGGTGTGATGCGGTCTTCCTTTTTGGTCCATCAGTATTTCAAAGTCTGCCAACTCCTGGTTTAACGACCCGCTGAAGAAGGAACACTTACGGGATAATCCTATCGTTCCAGTCCCGCTAGAACTTAAACTTGAGCTCTCGAGATACGCATCAAAATCTCGCTTCTAACGGCCCCACAAGCAGTTATGCAGCGTCCCAGGTAGACAAAACCCTGTACTAATGTTAACGTTTTCCAGTCGGTGGTGAGTGCAGATAGGGGCGTATACCAGTCTTGAAAAAGCGCTTTGCAATTGGATTGTGAAAAGCGCATGCCATACTTCGAGGCTTCAATCGCCATGCGGTTAATTGCTAGTTGGACTGCCTGCGGACAGTCACCCAACAAGACGATACCATCAGCGTAATCCAAATCAGCCACCCGACTACCTGGGAGGAGCTCAACGCCAGCGTTCAAAAACTCTTCTAGAGCATTTTTGAGGACATCCTCAGTGGCAAAGTTGTAGAGGAATGGAAAGATATGGCATCCTTGTCGTACCCCACTGGTGACAACAAAAAGGCGAAAGCTTGCCATAAGCCCTAACTCTACCCGAAATCAGACTATACAGAACATGCAGAATGGAAACGAACTTCCCGGGAACACCATTCCACAACAGACAGTGCAGCTTTCGACAGAATCGAAGGAAGCACGGATATCCAAGAACACAACAATTTCTTCAGGCTAGCACGCAGTGTTGCCATGATATTTTTGCGAGCCTCACTGTATTCGCTTCCAGCCGGAATACGTCGGTGAGCATCCATAAGTTCCAGAGACTCTGTAAAGACCCAATGTTCAGTTTGGCAATTTGATTTGCCACATGAAGACATGCCTGCTGATGGTAACGTTTGACGAATATGCGACCAAGGAGCTTCGACGGTGTTCAGTGGGCGCTTACTCATCTCGGATGTCAGCGCACTTTGATACACATTCAGAACACCTGGCTTCGTCAGCTGTCTGGTGTCAATCTGTTCACCTCGACGTTGCGGACGTCCACCGAAACGCACCCGGAGGTCGGCGCAAACAAGTGCGTAGTCAGAGTCCACACTCGCGCTCCAAATCGACCGATACTTTTGGATACAGCCTCTCCAGCGGTAACTGATCACGATATGATCGATTTGCATCCATGGCTGGCCTGAAGCTGGTGGGCGCCAAGTCACGCTTCTGCGGGTGCTGTGTCGAAAGTTTGTCCTCTCGAGAGAGAGAGGAGCACCTTCACACAGCTGTAGCAGTCGCTCACCGTTATCATTACGGGAGCCTACATCATGTTGGTCGCCCAGATGAAACTCATCAGAGGACAATTTTCCGACTTGGGAGTTTAGATCGCCAGCCAATACCACAGTATCCGTGCTTCTTCTGTAACCAAGGAGACCGTTAAGTTGCTGATAGAAATCATCTTTCACCGAATCAGTGCTACAGTTTGTAGGAACGTAGGCCGTAATGACAAACAGGCACCGTTTGATCCCGCGCGACTTCGTAGCATGAAACGAACCAGCTAATCTAACGGCGCACATCCGACTGTTGACTGGGATCCACTTGAGCACGGCAGCTCAGTCCGAGGACTCAAAACAATGCCCAGGCCGTCTTGACCGTTATTTGAAGCTGCGTTATCGCCAGACAAGCGCAATGAGAATGTGCCACCAGTGTCGCATTGGGGGGGGGGGGGGTTCACATGGTAAGCACGAAGCTCGAATCTTGCAGACGGGTTTCCCATAAGCGGGAAATATCGATCGATCGGGTCTCTAGTGTTCGGGCAAGTGCTGCCTGTTGGCCAACCTGTAGCGAAGTGCACATGTTGTGGCCTGCCATTGTTAGCGGGACGCGCTGACTCCAAAGGGAAACGGATGAACTGACGTTGTTCGCTTGGTTGAACATGGACTTGTCGGCCGGATTGAAGCGACGCCCTGCGACTGTGTGTGCGTTGAAACTAGAAAACAAGTGACTAGTGAAGCAACGTGGGGGTTGGCCAAAGACTGGGAGATTGAAAATGTGGGGGATAAAAGTAAAGTTGGAGCGGAACGATAAAGATGAAAAAACGCATGAAGGGGGATACGAAGACGAAAAGGCCTGAGCCGTAACGTCCATATCCCTATTCACTTTGCTCGATGCAGCAGATAGGGCACCATTGGTTATCATCTGCGACGACCAGAGCATCAAGAAATTGTTAGGAGAAAAGTTCATTGTATTGCGTGTGCAGGATACTGTCAGCTTTCTCAGGCCTAGACAGGAGAACGATTAGGGTTGCGATATAGAAGCAAAGGTTGGTAGCTCAGGTTGTTTAGTTGATTGGCTGATTGTTCGCTGAGCTCGGCAGGTTGACTGCAAACGTTTCGTCACCACTCGAGGTGACATCGTCAGTGCGAGTGTATTTAGCAGTATGGCGCGTACGACGCCTCGTACGCGCCATACATCGAAGAGGCGACGTGTCAGTCGTATAGGTAATCATCAGCGCAGCGCTTGGTAAGTACGCGGTTTCCGATTCAACTTTTTATACTAACCCAGGTCAATAATGCGGTTGATGTAGTACGTATGTCACATCAACCTTGCAATCGGTCTGTATGTGTACTTACTTGTTGAGTTTCTTCTATTTCAGGTGTTTGCTGTGGATTGATATCTACGGTGTGGCTGCGCTTGATGTGAATGTTGACAATGTGCCTGTCTGTCTGTTACCCTCCACCTTGTTATATATCGGCTAAGGAGCCTAAATCGTTGCTGGGGTGGACGAGGTGCACGCACCTCCTGACCGTGCTAGGCTCAAACGGTGGTTCCATGCATCCAGTGAGGAGCAGACTATGGAACAGTCACCGTCTTGTGTACATCTGACTGGAATATTGTTGCTCGGTATATTGAAGGGATGTGGGCCGGCTCCGTTGATGTAACGTGGCTCCCATCCACATGCATTCTGGTCTTATTCCTTCGTGTTGACACTGGGTATGGAGTGTATGGGTAAGGCAGCTCGATGCACCCATGGGTCCTCTGAAGGCGCAGACGTCCCGTGACTGTCTTATAGAGCCTGCAGTGACAGGTGTACCCTGGACCGGATGCAGCCAAGCAATATATATATATATATATATATATATATATATATTACGTCGACGGACCTCTACCGATTCACTGCCTGAAACCATTTCTGCATCGTCACCAGCAGGTTGGTAGTGCATGGGAGGCCTGTCGGAAAACCCTGCTGTGTGCGCGTCAATCGATCCTTTGATTAAGACAGCTGTGGTAGACTCTTCTTCACAATCTTCTCGGCAATCTTGACCAATATTGATGTCTGACAAATCGGACTGTAGTTGTCCACTTTGATGCGGTTACCGCCTTTCGGAATCTGCTTTACCACTGAGCATATCCAGTTGCCCGGCAATGAACCTACGGATAGTGACCTGTTGAACAACTCAGTCACAGCAGGTGAGATGATGGCCGATAGGGACTTGAGAATCAGTGGGTGGAGTCCGTCATGGCCAGCGGATTTGGTGCTATCAAGGTTGGGGAGTAGTTGACGCACCTCTTCAACACCGCAAGCAAAAATATGGAGTCGGTTAAACGCGGTACGCGTCGTACTCGATACAGACACCTGGTCATGTTGGGTGGAGCCGGGGATACTAGTCGGTACTCAATGACATGTAAGAGAGGTGTCAAATACGGGACAGTAAAGAAGTTGGAGGCGACTGAACCCAACGTATATTGTGCAGGCTACAAAAATAGGAAGCGAATCAACCAGAGCAAGAAACGGTGCAGCAAGGTACTCACCAAAACACTTTGTGTCAACGGATGTGCCGTCAGTAAAACAAGTGGACGTTTTGAAGGTTAAAACAACCTTAAAATCTAACGTTACTAAATGCTGAAGGAGCGTGTTTTCCGGTACACTATGAGGGTCACTCCCCTAGAAGGCTGAAGGAGGGAAGCCTTCGATGGCGCTGCTAGTATGGGAAAACGGAATGTAAGGATGGGTGCGAATAGTTGCATGGGTTTGGACAAGAGCTTCCGAGATGGTGTGTGTAGCAGAGTTCGCTGGGTCCATGCTTTTGTTAGTTATTATTTATGATGATCGCGTGGACCAGGGTGCAACATCCGTTGGCCGTCGGGGCGGGCTGATCGGACTGAAAAATAACTGGTTAGTCCAGAAATAAGGCCGACAGGACCTTTGCCGCAGACATGACGGTGCGCTTGGCATTTGTCAGTCCACCCACCGCACTTCAGTCCACAGTCCTCGTCCCACGAAGAAATCCAGGCGTCCTCTTCCCACGAAGAAAGCCGGGCGTACTTGTCAGGTGTTTGCGGACAAACCCGTATGTAGCTGTCTGCGGCCGTTGGCGACTGACTGTTCTTTAGGTCAGGAAAGGGGCCTTGGGGCGGCTTGCGAGTCATTCGGGGGTTGCGTTGAGCCGGTTGGCGTGTCACTTAAAGGGATGCCTTGGCAGTTCCGGTGGTTGAGTGTCTGGAAGGCAAAATTCAGAGGGGGTGGCCAAGGGTCGTGTAAGTGACTTGACGCCGGAGAGGGTACATTATATGCATGATAAAAGCAAATACGCTTTTTAAGTTTTTAAAATGTTTTGGTTATTTTTGTCGGTTTTTCAAAACATTTGTGAATGAGACACGCGATGCCCACTAAAGACGAAAAGGGCTTTTTAGTGGAAATAGCAAAGTTTACGAAATCTGAAAGACGGACCGGACGTTTGACCTGTCTGCCGCGTCGGTCGGTTGCCTGGCTTTGAGGCGGGATAGACTGCATGTCAAGGAGAACAGAGGGTTTCGGGATATCCAGTGCTCAGGAAGTCACCGCAGATGCGGGTGCTTGTGTGTTAGCATCAGGATGGGTTGCAAGTGGTTCTTCAAAGAAAGCCACTTTGAGGCGGGCGATGGACACCGTTGTTTGGTGACTATTCTGGTCTAAAGTAAAATGTTTCCGAGTCCGTTGCAGCTCTGAAAGGGCCAGTGTAGGGAGGCTAAACTGGGCGCTGCACTGCGTCGGTGCGGAGAAACTCGTGAGTGCAGGTAGAGAGTCCGCTGTGCATTTGCACGTCTAGTCTGCTCACGGGGCGGAGTCGGGCGTAGTGAACTCATGCGTTGAGCTACGGAGGACGCAAAGTTAGGCGGAGGCATACCCGACGATGCTGTAGGTACAACGAATTCTCCTGACAACTTTAGCGTTCTGCCGTAAACCAGCTCTGCTGGGGCACATTGCAAGCCAGCTTTGATGCTGCTGCCAATACCTAAGAGTACGAGCGAAACGTTTTCGCTCCAGCTAGGGTCGGAGCAGGCGCAGAGCGAGACTTCAAGCTGTCTATGAAAGTGTTCAACTAACCCGTTGGCTACTGGGTGATACGCTATGGCGTGAATGCGGCGGCAGCCTAAAATTTGCAGAACGGATCGAATTGTGAAGATTCGAAAGGCGTTCCTCGGTCAGTTGTAATGGTGGATGGGCATCCGTAGTGCGCGACCCACCGATCTAAGCCGGCCCGGATAACAGTCTCAGCTGTGCAGTCTGTTACTGGAACGGCTTCCGGCCATCTGGTGAAGCGGTCGACACATGTAACAATGTGTACGAATCCGCGTGAAGGGGGCAATGAGGCTGGACCTTACCGTGGTGCGATGGTTTGTGTGCCTCAGTGATCCATCGAGCTATACTGGGTGGTGCTTTTGCACCTTCAGAGCCACTCATACCAGATTGGTCAATGGTTAGAGGCCAGACAAACTCAGCCTCCTGGTCCTCCAGGTTGGGGGTTGGAATGAGGGTGGCTCCTTATTCCTTAAAACGGACTCCTTGTAGCCCAATGCCAAACCCGCTGCCTTGCGGACAGGTTTTTGAACCAAAGGCTTTGGTTGAGAACCCTAATCGTTCTCCTGTCTAGGCCTGGGCAACCTGACAGTATCCTGCCCACGCAATACAATGAATCGCACTTCAAACAAATTTCTGATGCTCTGGCCACCGCAGAGGATAATCAACGGTGCCCTATCTGCTGCATCGAGCAGGGTGGATAGGGGTTTGGATGCTACTGCTCAAGCCTTCCCATCTTCTTATTCCCCTTCTTGCGCTTTTTCACCCTTATCGTCCCGTTCCAGCTTCACTTTTATCCCCCCGTTTTCAACCCCCCAATTCTCGGCCCTCCCCTACCTTGCTTCAATAGTCGCTTGTCTTTTAGTTTCAACTCACATGTGAACGCGGAGCGTCATTCCTGCACTGTCAACAGGCCCATGTCCAAGCAAGCGGCCCATTCCAGTTCATCGGCTTCCATTTGGAGCCCTCGATCCTCCTTCAGATTGGCATGCCTCAATGTTCGCATATTGCTTCAGATCGGTCAACAGGCAGCACTTGCCCGAACATTAGAGACCCTCTCCATCGATATCTGCTGCTTATCGGAGACCCGCCTGCAAGACTCGAGCTCTGTACTCACTCTGCGATCCCCTTCAGGTGACACTAGCAGCACTTTCTCATTGCGCCTATCCGGTGACGATGCAGCTTCGAGCACCGGCCAAGCCGGTGTTGGTGTTGCCCTGAGTCCCCGGGCTGAAGCTGCTCTGGTTGATTGGATTCCAGTCAGTAGCCGGATGTGTGCGGTCCGATTGGCTGGCTCGTTCAAAGCTTCGAAGTCGTGTGGGACTAACAGGTGTCTATTCGTTATCGCTGCCTATGCACCGACAAACTGTAGCGATGACTCGGTAAAAGACGACTTCTATCGCCAACTGAACGAGCTCCTTCGCCACAGAAGAAGCACGGACACTGTTGTGCTGGCTGGGGATCTGAACGCTCAAGTTGGAAAATTATCCACTGATGAGCTGCATCTGGGCGGCCAACATGGTGTAGGCTCCCGTAATGATAACGGTGAGCGGTTACTTCATTTGTGTGAGGATGCTCGCTTATTTCTTGAGAGCACTAATTTCCGACACAGCACCCGCCGGAGGGTGACTTGGCGCCCACCAGCGTCGAACCAGCCTTGGACGCAGATCGATCACATTGCGATAAGTTACCGCTGGAGAGGCTGCGTCCAGAACTGTCGCTCGATTTGGAGCACAGGTGTGGACACCGACCATGCACTTGTATGTGCTGACCTGCAGATGCGCTTTGGCGGACGCCCACGACGATGTTGTGAGCGCATTGACACCGGCCAACTGGCGAAGCCAGCTGTTCTGAATGCCTATCAAAGTACGCTGTCATCCGAGTTGGATAAACGCTCACTGGATGCAATTGAAGGTCACTGGTCTCATATTCACCAGACCTTACTAGCAGCAGGCAAATCCTCATGTGGTATGTCTAATCGCTAACATGGACATTGGGTCTCTTCACAGTCTCTGGAACTTATAGATGCTCGCCGGCATATTCCGGCTGGAAGCGAACACCATGAAACTCGCAAAGAGCTCCGGGCAAAACTCCGTGCTAGCCTGAAGAGAGACCGCGAATCCTGGTGGTCTCGTCGTGCAACAGAGATGGAAATGGCCGCTGCCCTTGGTAACCATCGTAAGTTATTCCGTCTGATACGGGAAACGGGCAGCAGGAGACCAGGTGTTAGTGAAACTATACGTGACGAGAGTGGACAGCCTATCCACAACTTATCAAAACGCTTAGAGCGTTGGGCTGAGCACTTTGAAAGGCAATTTAATCGGTCGGAATTGTTAGATTTCTCGCCGACCAGTGATCGCCCTGCTCCGTGGGCTGTCCCTTTGGATCCACCCTCTCGTTCAGAAGTCGAACGTGAGATCGAACTGTTGAAGTTAAATAAAGCCGCGGGACCAGATGACCTTCCTCCAGCCCTCTTCAAATTCGGGGGACCTGCTCTTGTGGATGATTTACACGAGTTACTAGTCAAACTCTGGGAGCAGGAAACTGTCCCAACCGATTGGAGCCGCTCCATCATAGTCCCAATTTTCAAAGGAGGCTCACGGTCGGAATGCGGCAACCATAGAGGAATCAGTCTAATCTCCATCGCCTCCAAATTGCTTGCCTCTGTCATCCTTCACAGACTGACTGGCACTCGTGAAAGCCAGATTCGTGAAGAGCAAGCTGGATTTCGTCGAGGTCGTGGCTGCATTGACCACATCTTCACTTTGCGTCAGTTGTTGGAGCACCGTCACACATATTGGCGGCCCACCCTTGTCGTGTTCCTCGATATCAAAGGTGCATTCGATTCGGTGGATAGACATGCACTTTGGGACTGTCTACTCAGGAAAGGTGTACCTGAGAAATATGTGAATATTATCCGAGCATTATATGCGCGTAGCTCGGGCAGAGTGAGGGCTTACGGCAAGTTGTCGTCGCCCTTTAATATCTCCAGCGGCGTGAGACAAGGATGCCCGCTGTCACCTTTCCTCTTCAACTTCGCTGTTGACGAAGTCATGGAAATCGCGTTCACAGGACACGACTTAGAAGGTGTGGAGCTACTCCCAGGAGAACGACTTCTTGACTTAGAGTATGTTGATGATATTGCCCTGATCTGTGACAGCTCACAAACGTGCCAAGCGGCACTGGACAGATTAGCACTAGCTGTCCGTCACTTCGGGCTTTGCTTCGCACCCTCGAAGTGCAAAGCGTTCCTCCAAGATTGGCAGGGACCGCCTCCTTCGCTGACCCTTGGTGGGGATCAGCTAGAAGTCGTTCAAAAATTCAACTACCTGGGAAGTTGTATCAGCGCCCGTGGGATTGAAGATGAAATCACGAATCGTATAGCAAAAGCTCGGGGCGCTTTTGCTAACCTTCGCCACTTATGGCGCCGGCGCGACATCACTCTTGCCCTGAAGGGTAGGGTGTACAATGCAGCAGTACGTTCGACCCTACTGTACGGTTGTGAAACCTGGCCGCTTAAAGCAGCGGACCTGAAGAGGTTAGTTACGTTCGACCACCGGTGCCTTCGTAATTTAGCTCACATCTGGTGGGAACACCGCGTGAGCAACGAGCGTGTTCGACGCCTTGTTTACGGCACAGGAAAAGGAACTGAACCGCTCAGCACCGTTATTTCACGCATCAGGCTCCGATGGCTGGGCCACGTGTTACGCATGCCAGCCCACCGACTCCCGCGACGTGTGTTGTTTGCGCGCCGGGGGTGTGGATGGAAGAAGAGGAGGGGTGGCCAAGCGATGACTTGGTCGAGAGGAATGAAGGCCCTCACTTCTGAGCTGGCCTCGGTTGGAACGTCTCGGCTCCCTGGTTGGGGTCCGAAAGACGATGAACACGTTTGGTTGGACACACTTGCTGATATGGCTAAGAGCCGACCTCAGTGGCGTTCGTGCTGTGAGTTTCTTTGTCCCACCCCATCCCTCTTAGCCTCCCCCTCCAACCACGATCTCATTATTTAGCCTTATATAATTTTGCATAGTAATTTTTTGGGTGCACAGCAGCTGGCTGGTAGCTTACCGGAACGATGCCCATCGGTTACCGGTAGCTCCGCTGGCTTGCACCTGTTGCATTTTTTTCTCCTTTTTTCTATGTATTGCGGCACAGTAGCTGAGGTGTTCCCCACCTCTAGCTAATGTGTATGATGATGATGATGATGATGATGATGATGATGATGATGATGATGATGATGATGATGATGATGATGATGATGATGATGATGATGATGATGATGATGATGATGATGATGATGATGATGATGATGATGATGATGATGATGATGATGATGATGATGATGATGATGATGATGATGATGATGATGATGATGATGATGATGATGATGATGATGATGATGATGATGATGATGATGATGATGATGATGATGATGATGATGATGATGATGATGATGATGATGATGATGATGATGATGATGATGATGATGATGATGATGATGATGATGATGATGATGATGATGATGATGATGATGATGATGATGATGATGATGATGATGATGATGATGATGATGATGATGATGATGATGATGATGATGATGATGATGATGATGATGATGATGATGATGATGATGATGATGATGATGATGATGATGATGATGATGATGATGATGATGATGATGATGATGATGATGATGATGATGATGATGATGATGATGATGATGATGATGATGATGATGATGATGATGATGATGATGATGATGATGATGATGATGATGATGATGATGATGATGATGATGATGATGATGATGATGATGATGATGATGATGATGATGATGATGATGATGATGATGATGATGATGATGATGATGATGATGATGATGATGATGCTGATGCTGATGCTGATGATGATGATGATGATGATGATGACCAGGTCTACGTGTACACGCGAGAACAGTGAGTCCGGGGAAGGAAATGTATCCAGAAGACTGTGGGTGGGACGAGGTACTTTGGAGCGCTGGCATTAAAGGCAGGCGCGAGCCCAGGTACCAACACCTTTGTTTACGCGTGACAAAACGAGACGTACGGTGACCCGTTTCAAACATGCACGGATCCGAGGATGTGATAGTGAGTGCAGTGCGTCAGACCGTGCGTCTGAAGGAGACGGGCACTAAGGGGTCTAGGACAACCTGTGGACGTGTCACAAAGTATCGTTCCTTCCGTGGTTTAGAGAGGAACAGGTCGCACATGCAGCGAAGCTGACTGCGGAGTGCGCTGGATGTCTTCGTCTTGAGCCTGAGCCGATGCCATGGCGGCAAGTTCGACGGTAGGCAAAGACTAGAGAGTGAGCTTGACGCGTGAGAGAGCGTCGGCGACGGGCTTGTCGACACCTGAGACATGATGTATGTCAGCAGTAAACTGCGTGACAAAGTCTATGTGTGTTGTTTCTCGTGGTGAATATTTGTCGCAAGCAGCGTTAAAGGCGAAGATGACGGGGTTGTGGTCAGTGTAGAACGTGAAAGCGCGGCCTTCGAATGTGTGTCAGGAGTGACGAATGGCTAGGTAAATGGGGAGCAGTTCTCTGCCAAACGTGCTGTAGCGTGATTCCGCTGGCTGCAGGCGTAAGGAGAAGAACCCAACGGGTTGCCATTGCCTACCAACGTTGTTGGAGGACGGCTCCTACCGCGACGTCTGAGGCATCAGTCGTAATAGAAAGGGGTGCAGTCGATTCGGAATGAGCGAGGAGGGCTATGTTGGAGAGAGCATCCTTGGGCTGAGTGAAGGCTGCCTGTGCTGTGTCAGGGAAAGCGAACTTACATTCATTCCCTCTGAGTAGGTCGCCCAGAGGCTGCATGAGCTAAGCGCAGCGCGGAATGAAGCGTCGATAGTAGTTGACCAAACCACAAAATCGACGGAGTTGCTTGAATGACGCTGGAGCTGGGAAGTCCTTGATTGCCTGGATCTTATCAGGAAGGACTTCGATATCACACGATGAAACCAGGTGGCCTAGGAATTCGACCGTTGATTTGCCGAGTTCGCATTTACTCGGGTTGACTGTGACACCGTGTTGGGTCAAACGCTGGAAGAGAGTGCGAAGATGCATGCGATGTTCTTGTTCCGATGAACTGGCGACTAAAATATCATCGAGGTAGGAATAAGCGGTCTAGGCCACGAGTGACATCGTGGATGAAGCGTTGGAACGTTTGTGCGGCGTTGCACAGTCCAAATGGCATTCTTAAAAATTCAAACAAGCCGGAAGGAGAAATGACGGCTGTTTTAGCAACGTCATTTTCGGAAAGTATCTGGTGATAGGCGCGAACCAGCTCGATCTTGCTGATGAGGGTCTTACCTGTGAGGCATGCGATAAGGTCCTACATGTGTGGGATGGGATACCTATCTGGAACAGTTAGGCGATTTAGTGAGCGGTAATCACCGGAAGGGCGCTAGTCACCAGCTTTCTTGAGAACCATCCGCAAGGGAGAGGACCAAGGGCTGTCGGAAGGGCGGATTATTCCAAGCTCAAACATATGCTCAAACTCCGCACTAGCCACCTTGAGTTTCTCGGGCGATAGTCGGCTTGGACGTCATGAGACGGGATGGCCCATTCGTCCGTATGTGGTGCGTGACTTGGGATGCCACGGGCAAAGCTGGGTTCATTGGCTGAACGAGCTTGGAGTACTGGGAAAAGAGGTTGGCGTAGTCTGGCGAGGTCTGAGCAAAGGCGTAGACCGGTGTTATAAATGCGACATCGGCGGTGATGCCACTTACACCTAGTTTCGTTGCAGTGTCGACTATCATCTGGCGTTTCGCACCGACCAAGAGGTCGAAGTGCCTGATAACGTCAATGCCGGTGATGGCAAAGGGGACTGCAGCGACGGTGAATACCCAGCGGAACGTGCGCCGTAGACCTAGGTCCAGAGTAAGCGACCAATGACCGTAGGTGGCTATTGGTGTGCCATTGGCGCCACGTAGGCTTGTCGAGAAAGAAGCGATAGGCTCACCTGGCATAGGTGGAATAACGCTGCCTTCCGCCCCGGTATCAACTAATAACTGGGTCTCGGAATCATAATCCATAATGTAGATGAGACGACTTTGGGCTTTGCCGACGTCGTTAGTCGCCATTACGGGCTGGCCTGGAAGTTTCCCTGCTTGGCGGCGGAGAAACTGCATGGTTGCTCGCACTTACGAGCTTTGTTACCAAAACGCAAGTGGTGAAAGCAGTAACCTGGGGCACCAGGTTTTGTGCGACGAAGCGATGACCCAGAGCGCTTGCGATGCTCACGGTCTAAACTGAGTTCCTCGATCTGGCGCTGCAGCGACGCTATCTGCGATGGTAATGCGTCTATTGCCGATGGGTGGCTAATCGCCTGTGTCGGTGTGATTGCGCCAGCACGAAGCTGCTTAGGGGCTTTGGTTTCAGTCTCTGCGTGGTGCCGTTCGATGACGCGGTCTGCCAGATCAGCAATTGCTGTGAGTGGCAGGTCACTTGCTACCGCAAGGATAGCTTGAGTGCTTTCAGGAAGGCGTTGCATGTACAGCTCGCGGAGAATCCCTACGTCCATGTTGGACGTGCCGGTAAGTTGTTGCATTTCGCGCAACAAAGCTGAGGGCATCCTATCTCCTAGTTACAGATCACTAACTATTTGCTACAGACGGACCTTCTCAGAAGGCGTGATGCGCTGAATAATAGCCTGGTTAAGACTCTGGTATTTCTTTACCAGGGGGGCAAAATATGATGTCTCCCACCTGCGAGGATATACTCTGAGGCAGGCGAGATATTATCTGATTATACATGGCGAAATCAGAAGAAATCCTACGAATGTAAAAATACGGATCCTAGGTGCGAAAACCAAAACGAATGATCATGCTCCCCAAAAGGTGGAGGGGCTAACGCAACAGAATTGACCATGACATGCTCAACGGTGTTAACCGCGTATGGAGATGGCTCATCCTGTAGATAATCCATTGCAAAAAGCAGATAACAAATGTTGTAGGTGAGAAAACAATATGATCACAAGTAATGAAGCACAAAATCACTGAAACGGTCTCACGAGAATGAAACTTTAAAATAGCGGACGGCACGTTCTGGAACGGGGTCATCAATTAGTGGGTGGAGCCGGGGATACTAATCGGTAAACAATGACACGTAAGAGAGGTATCAAATACGGGACAGTAAAAAGATGGAGGCGACTGAACCTAAAGTATATTGTGCAGGCTACAAAAGTTGGAGGCGAATCAACTAGAGCGCGGAAGGGTGCAGCAAGTTTCTCACCAAAACGCTTTCTGTCAACGGATGTGCCGTCAGTAAAACAAGGACGTTTTGAAGGTTAAATCAACCGTAATATCCAATGTTACAAAATACTGAAAGAGCGTGTTTTCCCGTACACTACAGTCATTTTCAAACCCGGATTCGACGTGCGCCGCCAACGCAGAGGCACGCTCTGTGCTGGAAGTTAGGGACTGGCTGTCCGGGCCCTCTAGTACCGGCAGATCCATTGTCGGTTTGTGGCGCCGCTTCACGTAAGCAAAGATCCCCTTCGGAGCCGTCTGTATGGTGATTGCATGCTGCTTTTCGAAATGGTGGTTTTTTGTTTTCTCACTATTGCAAATACTTCGTTGCCTCTTATACGCTTTGTAGTCATTGGAGGAGCCGGTGAGGAGGAATTTGTCCCACAATTCGCGCCGCCGCCGAGCCTTGTTAGGATGCTTTTTGTTGTATAAATGCGGCTTGACTTGTCTAACTTTACGAAACTACAATGGTGCAAACCGAGAACACAGTAATGTCATTCCCTCTTTTACGACAGCCCAGCAGTCTTCCACAGATCTAGCTTGCAGCAGATACCACTCCACAGTTGTCTCGCGGCTCGAGTTGGACCGTGGAAGTCAATGTTCCAATAGTTGTAAGCTGACTCCACCTGCCGGGAATACGGCAAAGTTATATCCATACTGGCCTTGAGTACTGAGTGGTTGCTTGCTGTTAGGGGCTCAAGGACCTGAAGGTTATACGCATGTTATTCGAACTTGTTAACATCAAATCTAGACACGACGGAGTTGAGTGCGACTTTATACGTGTCGGTTGACACATGTGCCGCGCTGCTCCATTTTCGAGCACTAAGTCCACGAACTGCTTTGATTTCACCAATTGCGGGCGAGTTGAACTTCAGGCCAGTGTACTTGAGGACAATTGAAAAATTGGGGGCGACTCATGTGGCTTCCGAGATGTGGCAGCCACTCAAAACATCGGCTGAGAGTACTTCGATAAAACGCATTTACAAGCAGCTCCCCGCGCTTGCGGTTGGTCGAGCACCACAGCTGCCCGCACAGATAATCATCGCTTCTGTAGACGCTCCCACACGGGGAGAACTGCAGGTAGTCGATAATCTGTTGTAACGGAAGTAGGAGTAGCCACTGTGTTTGGTTACCTGGGCTATCACCACAAAATTCAGGCACGTCTGCAAGTTCCATGACGTCTGGCCACTCAGATGCAACCAAACGACAGAGTTCATCGCATTTTTCCTTAAAATTGCAAACCTAGCTAAGTGCTACACGCAGGCTATAGCAGCACCGGGTGTGTTTGTAGTTTATGCAACCTGTTTACCATTCTTCGTAGAGTATTGAAAACGATTCGCAAATTTATGATGAGGACATTTGTTTCCCCACCACCATTTCGTTTTAGATCAAAGATAGTAGACTTGAGCCGTTCCCGATCCACGGGATCAATGCTTTTAAACCTTTCAGTCTATATAAGGAGGACAGGATCAGCCTCGGAGTGACTTCACCCACAAATGTGATTTTCATTGGTCCACGTTGTTGATAACCTTTCCAAGATGAGTACTTTGTCGCGATTTCAACCCATTCTCATGTCAAGGGCTTCTATTAATTTCGCTGTGTAGAAATTCGGCGTCATGTTCGTTGCGCATCTGGTGAGTTGGATCACTCGACTAAGGCGCGTGGAAAACC